ATATATATATATATATATATATATATATATATATATATATATATATATATATATATATATATATATATATATATATATTTAACCAACATCCTGTTGTCAGATGGGTTGTGCTAATGTGATTTCTTAAATTTTCAGGTCTGGTGGTAATCAGGCCATCGTGTGGCTGGAGCAGCTTCCATGATAATGTTTTGCATAATGGAGTCTCACATTAAAATCAGGTAGATGTCTACAAACCTGAGAGCTCTTAACTTTGGCCAAGTGAAGTTAGAACATCTTTATCTTTGAGTTTGAGGGAAACCATGCAGTTTTGGCTTGCTGTTAGCACCCCCTAGAGTCCATTATTAATCCTCTGTTGTAAAACCGAAAGTGAAACTCTTTTCTTTGCTTTGCATTTTTAACACCTTAATCTAACTGCTGAAATGATTCTGCAGCCTCCATTAGTGTCTGCAGGAGCGATTCATCACTAAATCAAACAAAGAAGCTGTGTTCATGATCTAAAACAAGCAGAGTAACCATGCTGGAAGCAGACTGCAGCGCCAGGTACGCCAGCTCCACATTACTGAGACTAAAGTAGGACCATACAGGGAGTGGTCCAGATACTCTGAAGTTGCAAGTCCGGTATTCTGGCCACAGGTGGTGGTGGGGTCTGAGTGACATTTATTTAATCCTTTAACAGGTCAATTTAGCACAAACTGGCTCAATAAAATAATTTAAAAATAGGAAAAGTTGCATAAGATCTCTTTTAAATCATACTCAGATTTATAATTAGAATTTATCTGATGTAAGTCCTGGAGTTTAAAAAACCAGCATTAAGACCTTATGCTCTTGGTAAATGTAATCACATTTTTCTAAAGAATATGTTAATGTGTCATCTGTGTGTCAAAATAGGACGCTCCTCTCAGTATCCAATTAGCTCCTCTCCAAACTGTTCCCATGTTTCTGCCAAGAGAAAATCAGCACAACACGTTGTTTTGATCCCTCTGGTTGGATGGATTTAACAAACAGAACAGTACAACGCCAAGACAGCTGTTTGCTTTTTGTCCAGATGGCTAGATCTACGCTGCTCCATACTTACAGCACGCAACATGTATGTTAACATCTTTCTAGAAACGTTAGATCACATAAGAAAAATGTGAAAATGTTCTTAAACTCTTCTAGGTGTCAGTAAAGCTATTCTACTTTACCATTTTGGCTCAGTGTCTGGACCGGACAAGAGAACGACTCACTTTACGGAAAGAAAGTTCAACAGGTAGGTCAGCGTTGAAGTTGTACAGAGCTACAGCTTCGCCGTACTCCAGCACCTGAAGAGTGGGAGACCTTAAGGGTGTTGGCTTCTCTGTCGGAGGCAGAACCTAAAAATACACATAAACCATAACTCAGTAGCCTTTATAACACAAAGTACTTCAATAAGATCTGGAGTTAAATGACATAATTCACCTCTACATAAGAAGTGGGGAAGATCCCAGCTCTACCATGGTGCTCCCCTTCAAACCAATTGGCATCGACCTGCCTGTGGATGTAAACAATGTCGCCTTTCTGCAGTGTGAGCTCCCTGAGTGTAGGAGAAAGCATGCAATCTAAGTTCCTGATTTGAGACTTTCTTTTAAAATATCATCGGAGTAAGATTTCAAGGTACATGAAGTAAGAATGGCGTCCTGTGGACAGATGTGGGTACTGCAGTCCATGTTTCAAAACAAATGTGTGACTCTCCTCCCTCCTGTTTGTGAGTTTCATGGCTGTTGCCAGTTACGGCTCAACGCCAGAAGATTCTAGATGACGAGCGAAGACGAGTCATACACAGTAAGTTTATAAGCCATTAGAATTGTTAGCTCAACATTAGCCTCTACCCTACTGTACCCAATATTAGAGTAAACCAAATAGACGCTGCGGCTTCTTAGGGGCACAAGAAGCAACTTCTGCGTCGCTCCTGGGTAACATTGTTTCCATAGAGCAGCTGCACAGACTCTGTAACCCTGCAGGCTCAGTGATTGTAAACAAAGACTATGTCCCTCTTTAGCTTTTTTGAAAGGAGAAAAACGGACAAAGCTGAGAATTAAATTTGTTTTAATGTAACCTTCCTTCCAACATGATCGACACATTAGACTGTTTAGGGATTATTGCACAGTAAGAGTCTTACTTATTGTACCTTTAAGGTTTACCACATCATTCTAAAATGATCATGTTGAAAGAATCTGATGAAGAACTACTCACTTGGGAGACTGAGCCTGGAAATTAAACTTGGCTCTTGCAGCTTTCATCTAAAAATAGGAAGATTTACATTTATACTGCAACTATCAGAAAACGTTCATTTTACATTTTGCAGCTTTTCCAGTGACTAGAATTAGTTCAGACGTACCTTTTTCTCTTCTTTCTTTGATGGGAACTCCATGTTTTCATTTGCAGATGGAAGACGTTCTACTGTGGAGCACAACAAGAAGGCTCTAAACACTGAACTCTTTTGTTCTGCGTTTTGTTCTTAAGCGTGTTGCCATTACAGCCAGAACAAGTTCAAAAGCTCTAGGGATGCTGCATTTCCAGGGAAAGAAACGGGATGAAGTTAATCTTCAATCAGTTCTTCCGAGTTTCACTTCCTATTTTTGTGAGCTTCCTCCCCACCCATCTACAGCTGTTTCTATAGAGAAGGGAAAACGGTCTAATGAGGGCAACACCAGAGCAGAAGACACCACCAGCAACGAAGCCAAACCACGAGACCGTCAGACAATATTAGATTACTTGATGCTTTTATCAAATGTATTAGATCAGTGGGATGGTCGCTGAAGGGAGACAGTTACACTGAGAAAAACATCCAAACAGATAAAGAGGTTGTTTTCTTACCATGTGCAGGAGCAGATGTTATTAATGGGCCACCAGAATGCAGGTCAGGCTGCTTTGATGCTGGCGAATTCCTGAAAATGTGAAAAAGATAGACATAAATTAACTTTTGAGGTTTTATTAGTTTTCTGGTCCAGTGGGGGACTTTCTAAGAGCAAAAAGGCTGAATACAGCAGGGAATAGATGCATCCGGCACTTTCCCTCAGCTGTACAGTGTACATCAACTGTTTGCAGCTGGTTTTGATATTTTTGAATGGAGAAGAAACAAATTATCAGACAAGATTTTATCCTTTTTCACTGTATATCTTGTTTCAATGAGCTTCATAAAGCTCTATTCATGACCAGGAACAGGTGTGTTTCTGTGTTGAGCTTTATCTCCTAACCCACAGATTCCAGCTTTCCTTTTGTTTTTCAGTGTTTGGCAGGCGGACAGAAGAATCGTAGCTGCTACATGCTTTAAATTTACACATTCTTAGTGAAATCCCCTCAGGATTGGAAACAATTGCTCAGTTTAGCAAACAGCAGCATGAACTCTTCAGGAATGCATTACACACAAGGTGAGAAATGAGTTAGTGGAAACTTAATTTGTTTACCTGACAGCTGCCCAACACTAAGTCACATATTAATCTAACACACAACTATAACACTTGGATTCCTGAATCAGCAGGAGGTCTGCTGTGATTTCTACTAAACAACGATGCAACATGAAAGTGGACTGGGGAGGGTGGGGGCGGCTTAACCCTGATTTTTCAGCTTCTTTATGCTTAAATGATGCAAACTTTATGGATTATCGAGCATCTACTTCTCTATAGTTGATTGCAGTTTCAGTTGCAGCCTTGCTTCATGCATGTTTGTTTGTATTCTATAGTGAAAAGAATGAATCACATTAACAGGATCAGCTTGTCACAATGGTGTAAACCTCCCATAAAACAGTTTTAGACAAACGCACAAGAGAGAAACGTAGAACACAAGTATTTATCTCACTCTAACACTAAAATACTCATAAATTATAGAAAAATGGGACTAAAAGGTGATGAAAAGCTGATAACTTGATATTTATAGCTTCATTGAAATGGTACGGTGTAGATCAACTAACCTGTGGTTGGGAGTCTTTGGAGTGGGATCTGGATCCCTGTTTCTGGCCTCCTGTAAGCAGAGGGAACCCTTTAGGACGTTGCTCTCTGCAGCACCACTCAGCCTTCTGCATCTCATTCTTCAGAGGAAATCTCACAACAACTCAGACAAAGTAGAGGTGCTGCTGACCACTCCCAAGTGAGCAAAGAATTCCCCAGGGTCCTATCCTCCTCGAGCTTGCAGCAACACGGCTCATGATCTGTCTGAGCTATCTGTGATTTCATGCTAACCCTAGGAGGCTGGTTCTGTCACAGAAACATCAAACATGACATCAGAGCTGTTGGAAAGTTCCCGTGGAGCAGGGAAGAGGAGGAGCAGGCAGCACTATGGTTGTATATGATCTAAAGGAAACTATGTTTTTATCTTTTGCTCTTTTGGCAGCCAGGTCTAGATTTGCTGTGGGGAACTGTCAGGAGGGTGATTAAGAGAGAAGATCAATCTGAGTGCAGGGCAGGCAGGCCATTCTCAGGCAGTCAAAGAGAAGAATGTTCACGTTCTCAGCTAGCAAGCAAAGGGATCCCATTGACACGTAGCTTTCACTGGGAGGGTAGGCAACGGGAGTGGGTGGGAATTCTGCTAGATTGGTGAGATAGAGGGGGTGATTTGGCAGAAAGAGTCGGTAGGGAGGCTCAGTACCTCACCCCGGCCTTGACGCTGCTTCTTCTGGGAAAGAGTCCTCTCCAGGCCCTGAATCTCCGAGTCCAGTTCAGCCTCGAATCGACTCAGCTCAGACGCCAGACTGGCCTGACTCCCGCAATTAAAGAGTTGGAATAAATAAAACACAGCTAGAGCAGGGGTTCTGGAGCTAAAGTGGCCCTCGTTTACTTTTAATATTCATAAAGTCAACAAAATAATTCTACGTGAAATTGTGTTGTGGATACTTACCTCAATGGAAGGGGACTTGGGTTTTTCGGGTTGTGTCTTTGGGGATAAAAAAGTCTAAAAGAAGAGAAAAAAGAGAACACAGTTGAAGCAGATTTAGAGCTAAACATTAGTGATGTTGTTGCACCAAATGGAAAAAGAAGATAACAAGAGAAATAAACTGATTGTGGCCTTAAAGCGGGACATAATGTGTTTTTTTTTTGTTTTGTTTTGTTTTTGTTTTTTTGTTTTTCAAAAATCTGCATTGGTTTTTAGTATTATTAAAGATTAAATTAAAGTCCCATAGTTGTCACACACACTGGTGTGGTGTGGTGAAAATTATCCTCCGCATTTGACCCATCCCCGTGGGGAGCGGTGAGCTGCAGACATGGCCATGCTCCGGAACTACAGTATTAGGTGGTTTATGAGTGCATGCCTTAGTCGATCTCTGTGGAAAAAAGCTCTTGCGCTCCTGTTTTAGAAAGTAAAAGGTTAGCTGGAGGGAAGGGGGGCTGAAAACCGACGCGATTTGGAATTTCACTCATTATCATTCATGCTATGTGGAAATCTGGCCTCTGATTGGCTAACAGCAACACAACTCTACCATTGACTCAGTTTGCGCTGTAACGCTGATGTTTTATCTCCATAAATAACTCAAACATGAAGGAGTTGCTAATGCTAACAATTAGCTTCACTAGCTGAGGTGAGCTCTGCTCTCTCCTGGATGCGAAAATCAACAACAGCCTTTCCCAGTCGTGAGCCCAGGTGGCTGGGTCCATGACAGCTATTTGATGTAGATCTGAATGACTTTTTCTGATCTGAGTGTTTCCCCGTATATTTTCTTCTGGTGTCACAACAGGTCGGTGTTTAGGCGTGAAACTTTTTGGCACAGAAATTTTACCAAGTTGAGCAAAAGTTATGAAATTACTCCACAAACAGACTTTGTTTTAAGTGAAAACTTAAAATTTTCTGAGTGTTAGGTATAAAACACATGAATTAAATCAGTTTCCATACAAAAGCTGTTTTTTACCCTCTCAGGCTCAAAATAAGTCTTGATAAAAGGACGAACAACTAAGTCCTTCAGGAGTACTTCTGAGTTTAAAAATGCTCATGTATGTGGAGTAGCCAGGTAGGTAGGTTTTAACGTTGCAAATCTGCAACGCCTGCCTGCAGAGGGTTAAATAATCTTTCAGAATAAGAGTTTCCAAAATGCAGAGGTCAAAGTACAACATCTATAGCCTGCCAAAGCACATTTTGGACTCAACACTGCTGAGGTATAAACCAGCACATTTTTTTCTGTTTAACAAGCGCTGCAATAACTCGTTCACTCCCTCTCTGCACATATTTGACACCACTCGCCGCTGATTCGATCGAACATTACTTTAAAAGGCCCTGTTGGTGAGAACCGCAGACGACTGCTTCATTTTTTAGTAGAACCTTGGCTGAACGTGTCTCTCTGAATGCCAGAAACCTTCGTGTCCCGTCTGCAAGCACAAACAGCGATGTCACAGAGAAGCAGCACAACACCTGATATGGTCTGTGAGCTGCTTTTCTAAATGCTGTCCAGGGGATACGGCTTCAGCCAATTCCACAAAGACTTAATGAAAGAAGTCCCCGTGCTGTGAGCCATTAAACACCACAAGAGGTTAACACCATAATACAAATCACAAGACACATCAGCTCCCATGGGGGAGTGGAAACAAAGATTTATTTTCTTCTTCAGATGAGACACAGTATGCACCACAGATCTGGAGCAGTGTTCCCAAACAACCCGAAAACTCACAGGGTGTATTAAAACCCACAAACACTAAAATAACTAATAAATCACAGCAGAAAGCCAAAACCATGGGAGAAATCATCAAAAACTGATTCTGTACAAACCACAATAGATCAGTCCCTTTTTCTCTGCAAATCTGAATGCATCATTGTTGAGATGACTAACAGGGATGAGCTCACCTGGAGTTTAGAACCCTCTGGTGAACATTGTCTGTCTTTACCAGGTACTGCATAAGTTGCGCGAGAAGATGAAAAACAAGGGCTCAGACGATAATCCTTGAAGACGTGACCGACTGAGACAACAAACCATACTGAGAATTGCACCTATAAGTCCCAACAACAATGCTGAGGAAATTTAAAGATTAAAAGAACTTTATTTTGGACTTAGAGTCTATTTTTAAACCGTGTGACTGCGTGTGAGGTCGTACCTGGCTGTGAGTTTCTGAGGTGGGGCTCTTTCCGGGCTCAAAGTCGAAAATGCTCCTCGGCTGAGGTTGTTGCTTTCCGGGGTCTGACAGCTTATCTACATCCTCGCTCCTGAAAGGTAACACCCCAACACACACACACACACACACACACACACACACACACACACACACACACACACACACACACACACAACTTAGTTTCGGCTTCATTGTGTGTGCTGTAACAACAGATCCAAACTTGTCCGTCCTACACGTTTACTCTCCGCTGCACATGGGCAAAGTTTTGGTTGGTTTTTTTGGTAACACTTTACAAAAAGGGTTGCTTCATTAATGTTACTTTGTGCATTATTAAGCATTAATAAACAATTTTAAAAAGTTTTAACAACTGCTTAACCGTATTATTATGCATTATTAAGCAGACCATCCCCGTCCCTTTGCGTTAACTTAAAGGAAACGCAATAGTTAACAATAACGGTAGCATTAATATAGGTGTCCTTTCTTTATTAATACTTAACTCACTCACTAAGTAATGTTAATGAAGGGACATTTATTGTAAAGTGCTGCTGGTATTTCTACAAGTCAAGCTATATCCTGGTAAATAATGACTTATTTTCATTTAATTTTACTTCTTAATAAAAAATAAAAGAAAAACATGCCAGCACTACTAACAGTTCACTACTAAAATGTTATTTTTCTCACTCTAGGAAATAAATTAGCATCTTTTTTATGCATGTGCAGTTAAATTACGTGAGGCAGCTTAATTTAAACAGCACAGTTCATACACAGACAGTGACAAAATACAACAGTAAATTTTAAAATCCACTTTATAATACACAAACAGAATTACATTTTAAAAAGGCTAAGTTAAACACTGAGCAGTTACAGTCACAGAAGGTGCAACATAAGAAACAATAACTCAAAGGCTGATGAATGCTTGAATGTTTTCACTTTGATTTAAAGGTTTCTGGTTTGGGGCGGATTTGAGGTAAAGCTGAATCTGTGTGCAGCAAAGTAGCTAAACACAGCTTCTGTTTGGTTCAGAATTGTTTTAAATGATAAAAAATGTAGTAAACAATTACTTAAAGTTTTGAAATCTTTGTTTAATGCTTCCTCAAAAAGTATGATTCTAGCAGGGACAGGCTTAGTTGTGTGCTAATTAGCAACGGTAGCTATCATAACAGTTGAGCACATATCAGTCCGAAGTCTGAACATTTGCAGACTTTATGGATCAGGGAACTAAAAAACATCCATAATGCATTTAGAAATATTGTGTTTACTGACAGAGACCAAACATTGGCTGAGCCTTAAAATCCTGACTATGTCTGTCGTCAACAACTTGGTAATTATTTTTTTAATCCTCCTTCTTCAGCCAACTTGTCCTCCTTTTGCTTGTTACCATGGGAACGAGACTTCCAACAAGATGCAGAGTACAACCTGCTGCAGCTTCGTCTGTTTCAGACGTTTAACTGAAATCTAGTAAACTTGTTGGTAAGATGTGAATAAAATATCATAACAAGTAATTCTGACAAATACCAGGTTTACTACATCGTTTTCATTTGACTCTTATCGCTGAGGTTTTTGTTTTATCTAAGAGGCTATTATTTATCTGTGATGTTAATCTGCCTAAATCTTTTTTTTTCTCAGAAAACGAAACTGAATATGTTAGATGAACTCAGCGTACACTCACCAATCTGGCAGAGACCCATAAGGTGTCAGTCTGAAGAGGTTCTTGTCGGCTTCGTTACTTTCTACTTTGTCAGCAGATGACGGGAGCCCTGCTGGTCATACCAGATTAAACGTTAACTATGATCAGACTAACCAAGACGGAATGGGGCCGAATGTGGCGGAATCACCCACGTTCTCCTGAACACCAGTCTGAATCTTCCAGCTCTGGTTTGGAGAAAACAAAAAGATAATTTTTAGATGTTTTATGTCATTTAGTTACATGCTTTTTCTGAAACCAAATAATATTTTACACTGAGCTCTGAGGATATGTGTGAAAAGAGTATGAAAGCAGGGTTTGAATTATGGGCAAGCTAGGGGGAGCCTGGCTCCCCCGAAAGGGCGAAGGGCTCCCCGGAAGTTCTCAACTGATACACCCAGGAGGAGCCCGAAAAATGGTCCAGCCCCCACCCCTGCCATTATAATGAAGGTGATTGGACGGACCACTCAAGCACCCCGCACTCTCTGTCACAGAGTTTTAATGGAGGTGATCTGACGGACAACCCCACCCCTCACCTCTCATTCTTACTAACCCCCCACCAGATGTCCATATGTAAATCAAGCTCTGGGTGAAAATCAACATTTTAGAAACTTGATTGCAATATTAGATGTATTTCATGCTGTAACCGTATTGATGCAGGAGGATCATCTCTGCAGCAGCAGAGAAGGAGGAGGAGGAGCATCCTTACCTTGTGGCTTCTTGTGAATCTGTCTGAACATGCTCCTGTACCAGTCTCTGGGCTTGTTCACACTCTGGTGTAAGAAAACAGGCACATAAAGAAAGTAAATTTGTGAATTCAGGTGAGCTGAAACAAGAGCAGAAGGAGAAGATGCATTTGTGGCTCACAGATCTGGAGGCGATGGGCATCCCGCTCTCATCCACTGGTCCGATACCCGAGAACTTAATGAGCCTCTCCTCCCCGCTGGGCGTCCAGCTGCGTGGTAACGTGGAAGAGCTCTGGCCTCCATTAGACAGCCCAACTGAGAGACATGTGTGACTGATTTTAGATGACAACATGAATGAGACAGGTTTGAAGTTTTTACACGCCTTTTACGGTTCATGTCATTCCAGCTTTAACATTTATTTCAGATGTTTGACTAATATAAAATAAAACGCACAAATTCTGGACATTTTGCTTTTTGTAGACTTTTCCAAACTCACATCTGGGTTCCTGAGATCATTCTTCAAATTGTTTCTCTAAATTTAAATTACAGATTAAAACATTAGTGTTTGTACCTTGTGACTGTGAAGGTCCGTAGTATGACCCAAAGCTAAGAGTAGATGGTCCTCCGCCGTTCAGATCCGAGCCCTTGAGTAAACAGAAACATCCCGATAACTCCTGTTTTCCAGCTAAACTTTGGACTGCATGAGTTGTTTGTAGGAGACATGTGATGCATTATCTTTCCACAGGGAGGAGCAGTTGTTTTCCTAATTCTTTGCACTAAACCAGTCTGAAGGATGTCACATACCCTGACAGCTCCAGATGGCAGCCTCGCCGAGCGAAACGGACTCAGAGGAGGAGTTGGGAGTCCGGGAGAGATGACTACTTCATGAGTCAGATCTGGAGAATTCAGGATGTATGGGGTTGAAGGAGCTTCCGGGTCCCCGGATGAAGCAGCCTGGGAGCCATTTGTATGGCCGAACACTTCTGCACTCTGCTGCTTCACACAGAGGAAATGAGAAATATGGATGAACAAAAACAATGGGTGAACTTTGCTGCTGTCATGTCCTCCTGTGGGCTCTGAGTAAACAAGGCGCTCTGTGAAAGGTCATGTGAACTTGTTAGCTGCCCTGCTATTCTCTGGAGAACAACTGGCCTCTGTGGGGGGAGCTTGTGATGAAAAGGCCCTCTAACTTATTTAAAGCAGGAGCAGTGGGACGCGGGTTTCCACCCTCGTTATCTACCACAGCTACAGAAAGGCCTCGTTCAAGGTGCAGAGGTGCTGAGTGGACTGTTTATGAGCTCATAATCTTCCTTTTTTCTAGACATGAGGTGGAGCTGGGGAGGCATAAGTCAGTCAATCTGATGACAAACTTAACCCAACTCCTGAATCAGGTGCTTAGGTTCTCTGTGGTCACAGAGGTCAGGGGAAATCTCCCTGTTTCTTGCACAAGAGGCTTGTTTCTGTGACAGAAGCTGCATGTGTTTGTCTTTTATTTTATTTAACATTGCTGGTTTGCACGGTTTTACCTGAGTCTGCATGTGGTCCTTTATTTTCCTCCAATGGTAGATATCAGACTCTTGCACCCAACATCGAGTATCTGCAAAGACACATTTGTTGACATGTAAAAATCTGTTTAAAGAAAATGTGAAAATAACATTATAGTTTCGATATGTGCAGGTCTTTAACTGTTGTGGCCATTGTTTGGGATTAACACCAGCTTTTCCCCCAGGCTGAAACATCTGTTCCATTACCCCATCTAACCGTTATCCCATCGAGGAAAAGTCAGCGTCATACTGCAGCGGTGGAGAAACCCACCCGAGTGACTCACACTCCCGCCTTCTTACTCCCAATAACAACTCTCTAATCTGGGTTGGATGATGGAGAATGTCGTCTACAGAAGGCAGAGATTAGATCCCTATCGATTTCACTTCAGACAAGACTTCCCGTTTCATCATCAAAGGTGTGTTGAGAGTGGGGGGGGACCTGTTTTTTGCTGAACAAGTCAGGCAAATACACAGTAAAAACGTGAAGTATTTTCAGTTGTAAAAACTTTGAAGACCAAGTTCACTTTTTTTTCCAACACATTGTTAGTAGTATCCAGTATGAATGAATGAATGTTGATCTCTGTGTAGAAAAAAAGCTCTGGCGCTTGTGTTGCAGGAAGTTAGCTTAAAGAGAGGTGAGCAGAACACAGCAGGATTTGGACATCTCGCCTCTGATTGGCTAACAGCAACGTGACTCCACCACTGAGTCCATTCGCTCTGCAACGTTGATCTTTTATCTCCACTAATAACACAACTCTGACAAGTCCTGACGCGTTGTGGAGTTGCTAATGCTAACGATTAGCTTCTACTAGCCAAGAGGTGCTCTGCTCTCTCCTGATGCTAAATCAACAACACCCTTCCCTGTTGCGAGCTTAGATGGGTGAGTCTATGAATGCTTATTTTCAGTTTGACGTGGATCTAACCGGCTTTTTCTGACCCGAACGTGTCCCCATCTGTTTTCCATTGGTGGCTAATGCAGGAAATAGGGGAAGAAGACTGTTTTCATGTTTAGCCTGCATGTTAAACCGTAAAAAATAGTTTTTCTGTAAACTTGGCCTCTAAAATATTAATTTCATACATTTGTGACTATATTTTACATCAGTCCAGTAAAACAAGGCAGTTTAATGTTTCAGCGCAACTTCGTGAGTTGTCAGTTCTTAAACCTTATACCATTGCAACAAACTAGAATTCTGCTTATTTATTTATTTGTTTATTTGTTTGTTTATTTATTTACTTTTTGTAGTGAGAATGGAGGAAAACCAACTACTGGAGTTGGACTTCCTTCCTGAGGCTCAGTTTGCTGCACAGAGCAGGAGGCTGCACACACAGCAGCTAAACCCACCTTCTCAGCAGCTCCAGACCCATCTGACTCCCAGTCTGTGTTACACCAACAAAAAAAAACATTACTTTTCTGGTAAAATACTCTGATTAATTGTGGAACTTGCTTCCAATGAAAGCTTTACATTTGTTGCTTTGTGAGAAAGCAATGACCAAAATGTGGGCCAGATTACGACTCCAGGCTGAGCGGTGGCCAGTACAGTTTGCACTAATGAGTTTTCCATGTGCCATTGGCTGCTGAGAATCAGAGTCTATAATCTTTATGGTCAAGACAAGAAAACCAACGCTCTCTGTGTCTCGGTGCAGCACAGAGCCCATGTATTAATCCTCACAGACACTTCCCAGGAAACAACAAACCAAACATTTCATGCCTAAACATGTTAATCGACCTATCGACCTTTAAAAGTTTCCAATAAGCGAAACTGCAAACAAACCTCACCCACAAAAATGTGTGTTTGCACCAAGCAGGGAACATGTATTTGTAAAAGACTGTTGACATTCATGAACAAGATGAATGAATGGGTAATTTTCTATTTAATCTAAAGAAACCTCCTCATTGGTGCAAGTTTGAACACAAACCTGTTGGCCACCGTGCTTTTCTGTGTGATTCTGATGGAAAAGTCTCACGTTAAGACACGATGAAAAGCACAGAAAGTCTGTAAAAGAACAACAAATAACTGGAAAACATCACATCCTGCTTTTAATCCAACACAGCAACATGATCCAAACATCCCAGATGTGTCTGACTCGCACTTTCTGCTAAAAATATGTTGTTTCAATCCGAAGCAGCCCTGAAGACCTCACCATGAGATCATGCAAGATTACGCAACTATTATAAAACTCTATTTAGCAGTGAGGTTCGTTTATTGTCACATATTTCTTTTGCAATGCTAGCTTTTTATGCTTTATTGGTCATAGGCGCTTGAATGACTATTAGCTGTTAATCTTGTTGAAAAGGTTTAATTTATACAAAGTTTTGTGTATAAATCAGCAAACCAGGTGTGGTTTAAATGTATTGATCACACGACAGAAAAGCATTTTTCTCTTTCAAATACATCAAATATTTTATTTCTTGCCTGTTCTGTTTCACATAGCAGCCTCTAAACGAGCAAACACATGTCACAACAGACTCGTTTTTCAAGGAGAGAAAAGTCCAACACAGAACCCGTCCACAGCTGCAAAAACAATCCTACCTAATAAGGAAAAACTTCTATGAAATATCGAGTATTAAGAGTCCAGTTCTGTGGGTCGTCTCCTCACCGGAGGAAGTTTCAGAACGGCGTATGTTCTTATTTACAAGCTTCACTCCTGCAAGGTGAGAGGTTCATTATCACCACTGGATCAGATGTGGAGTAGAAGAGAAACAGAACCATAAAAGGCCCCAGTGTGCTCCCCCCACAACGAGATGATGTCCTGCTTCAGATATGCAACAGGATTCAAGATTTCACACTTTCACTTCTGCAGCTGAGGATGGGAAAGATTCTGAAATTAAAATATCAACTTCTGTCTACAGGAAATTGAGATGCTATCTAAAAGGGCTGACCCAGATGTAGACTAATAGATGGGCTACTGTAGTGAGATATTTGGATTTTTTATGCCAGATTTTCCCTAAAAGGGTGGAAGAGAGCCCAGACTGTTGAGGCAGACCAGACCTGCCCAGTAGCTACAAGGTCAGTGAACTTCACCACACCCCTTCAGTTCCTGTGAGCCACAATAGGAAGTTCCTCCGCTGTTATTAGCAGTCCACCAGGAAACCAAAAGAAAGAGATCTGCAGAAAAATGTCTAATCATCTGACAGTTTGAGGTTAGCAGCAGAAGAAACATTCAGTCATCAAAATTCTGTTTTCCTGTGATGGATATGTCGGACCTCACTGAGAGGATGATGACCCTCAATGACTTTCTGCTCTCTCTCACACACACACACACACACACACACACACACACACACACACACACACACACACACACACACACACACACACACACACACACACACACACACACACACACACACACACACACACGCGCGACCACATGCATTGTTCCCTCCATGAATAAAACTGCCAAGGTGTCTACAGAAGCCCCAAAGACTAACGGCTGCAGGGCTGACTCTTGACCTTCAGCGCTCACCACCAGGAACGTGGTGATTTGTGATCCGTCTCACTGTGACAGCGTTACGACAAACTGCTCCTTTGTTCATTAGCATCATTTTGTCTTCTGGCACCACGTTGAGGGCAGTTAGCAGAATCACTCAGTTAATGATTGACTCTAAAGGCTTTTTCACACAGAACAGCTTTAACTTGGGTAATTGTGACACTTTTAGTTCTATAAATGCCATTTTTTAAATTCTTAATTAGGAGATAGGTGAGGGTGCTCGTGTCTGAGCGCAGTTTAGTCAAAATTGATAATTTTCACACATTAAAGAGTAAAAATAATGCAATCCTACAACAGAACATCCAGTTTGATCTGGAAAAGTGTGCTATCAGTCAACCAATCATAGACAAATCAGCAAAACCCTGTGAGAGAAGTCATCATAGACAATGAGATTGGTTCAAAACAGGTGATGAAATCCCGCCCCCTTTAGAGTGTTACTGCTCAGGTAGAACTTTCCGTTGTCAGAGTTGGACTTACCTGCATCTTGATGCTGTTTGTGGTTTTTATATAATTAGTTTTATGATTTTAATGGTGCTCACTCATAACTTTTGAACTGTGTAAAATGTTCACTTCTTTACTCTCATGTTTTCACCTCACATTTTATAAATGAGCCTTGAAAAAGTTGGCATTTTTATCTCCTTTCACCCGACTGCTTGAGGACTCATGAGGCCTGTTTCCATGATCGGAGCTTCTGGGTCATTTCAGCAGGCCGGCCCGAAAGGAACATCTTCTGGACCATTTCAGAAACCAGCCAAGTACCTGAACCGAAGTAGATCTCGTCTCTCTCGTCTCTCGTCTTCCTCCGCTTATCCGGGTCCGGGTCGCGGGGGCAGCATCCCAACTAGGGAGCTCCAGGCCGTCCTCTCCCCAGCCTTGTCCACCAGCTCCTCCGGCAGGACCCCAAGGCGTTCCCGGACCAGATTGGAGATGTAACCTCTCCAACGTGTCCTGGGTCGACCCGGGGGCCTTCTGCCGGCAGGACATGCCCGAAACACCTCCCCGGGGAGGCGTCCAGGAGGCATCCTGACCAGATGCCCAAACCACCTCAACTGGCTCCTTTCGATCCGGAGGAGCAGCGGTTCTACTCCGAGTCCCTCCCGAATGTCCGAGCTCCTCACCCTATCTCTAAGGCTGAGCCCGGCCACCCTATGGAGGAAACTCATTTCGGCCGCTTGTATCCGCGATCTCGTTCTTTCGGTCATTACCCAAAGCTCATGACCATAGGTGAGGATTGGGACGTAGATCGACCGGTAAATCGAGAGCCTGGCTTTCTGGCTCAGCTCCCTCTTCCCCACGACAGATCGGCTCAGCGTCCGCATCACTGAAGGCACCGAACCAATCCGCCTGTCGATCTCCCGATCCCTGCTACCCTCACTCGTGAACAAGACCCCGAGATACTTAAACTCCTCCACTTGAGGTAGGACCTCTCCCCCGACCCGGAGGTGGCAAGCCACCCTTTTCCGGTCGAGAACCATGGTCTCAGATTTGGAGGTGCTGATCCTCATCCCAGCCGCTTCACATTCGGCCGCGAACCTACCCAGCAAGAGCTGAAGGTCAGAGCTGGATGAAGCTAGGAGGACCACATCATCCGCAAAAAGCAGAGACGAGATTCTCCTGCCACCAAACTCGACACACTCCACACCACGGCTGCGTCTAGAAATTCTGTCCATAAAAGTGATGAACAGAACCGGTGACAAAGGGCAGCCCTGGTGGAGTCCAACCCTCACTGGGAACAGGTCCGACTTACTACCGGCTATGCGGACCAAACTCACGCTCCTCTGGTAAAGGGACTGAATGGCCCTTAACAGAAAGCCACCCACCCCATACTCCTGGAGCGTCCCCCACAGGGTGCCCCTGGGGACACGGTCATAAGCCTTCTCCAAATCCACAAAACACATGTGGATTGGTTGGGCAAACTCCCATGCCCCCTCCATCACCCTTGCAAGGGTATAGAGCTGGTCCACAGTTCCACGGCCAGGACGAAAACCACATTGCTCCTCCTCAATCTGAGATTCAACTATCGTTCGGACCCTCCTCTCCAGTACCTTGGAGTAGACCTTTCCAGGGAGGCTGAGGAGTGTGATCCCCCTATAGTTGGAACACACCCTCAGGTCACCCTTCTTAAAGATGGGGACCACCACCCCGGTCTGCCACTCCCTAGGAACTGCCCCCGATGACCACGCAATGTTGTAGAGACGTGTCAACCATGACAGCCCTACAACATCCATAGCCTTGAGATACCCAGGACGAACCTCATCCGCCCCCGGGGCTCCGCCGCTGTGTAGTTGTTTGACTACCTCAGCAACTTCTGCCCCCGAGATCGGACAGTCCATCCCCAGGCCTCCCAGCTCTGGTTCCTCCTCGGAATGCGCACTGGTGGGATTGAGGAGCTCCTCAAAGTATTCCTTCCACCGTCCGACTACAGCCTCAGTTGACGTCAGCAGCTCCCCATCCCCACTGTAAACAGTGTGAGCGAGTTGCTGCCTTCCTCTCCTGAGGCGCCGGACAGTTTGCCAGAACCTCTTTGGAGCCGATCGATAGTCTTTCTCCATGGCCTCACCAAACTCCTCCCACGCCTGAGATTTTGCCTCGGCAACTGCCACTGCTGCACCCCGCTTGGCTATCCGGTACCTGTCTGCTGCCTCCGGAGACCCACAGACCGAAGTAGATACTCAGATAATTCATGCTGCTAGTGTACTTTGACAAAATAAAATGTTTAATGTTATAATGTCCTTTTGGCACTAGTCAATGACATCACTCACTGCCAAACCGGTCGCAACATGCTGACGTCTTGAAAAGGCCATTTTTCTATGGAGACACAACGGCTGAGAGGACAGAACCAATGTATTTCCTGTGTCATCTTCCCTCCTCCCAGAAAATTCCCGTAACTCCTGCAGCAGAAACACGGCTCAAGTTTTGTCTCACACGCCCTCAGAGTGCTGGGAACACACACTCGAATTTAAGCATACTGGTGTGTGCTCTCATTGTCTCGCATTAACTTTGCAGGAAAAAACACAAGTGTGCAGTAAGCACTGTGGCCCAGGTGAGCAGCTGATTGTTACCATGGTAACCCAAATGATGCACTGAAAACTGTTTTAACATTTCTGTTCATTTTCTCTTTTCCAGCTTTTAAGTCAAGTGGAGATTTTGTCTCAGTGTAAATCTTTCCAGAGTCAGCTGCGTTTACACAAAGTTTCATCTTTTCGAGGTTACTGCGATGATTATGACCTGGGCACTGATTTGACATAACTATAAAGCCTTATCTTCCCTGCACTGCTGCCCCAGTTACATAACAGGGATGTAAAACCAAACAAGTACAAACACATTTATTGAGTAAATAAAACAAGCATTTTATAAACACACGAGGTGAGTCACTGCGCAGCTATGTGAGTGGTCAGTCCTCACAGCTAACCTGCTCCTTTGCAGCCATGCAGTTCTGCAGACAGGACCCATACAAGGTCCTGCAGCTGGGAGTTTATGATATGGAGTTTTTCTGTAATGACGAGGGGGATGCACAGATCTATCAGGGAGGGATGTGTTTCACCTCCTTGTATGGTGCTCCTGCCTAAGGAGTTTCTGTGCTTCTTGTCAATGAAGAGGCGACAAGTTCCCAGGAGACGTTTCAGGTTTGTAAATCACCACCTCACTCTCCAAGAATCTCCCAGGATTAAATCAGAGGAGATTATGGAAGAAAAAAACTTCAGATCATTTGTGTGCAACATGCTGGACAGAGTGTGAGAAAATGCACGATGGGAGTGTGCAGAAGGAGAAAAATCCTCACGCCTGTCATTTACCACCTTTAGGCTGGATGTAGGCTGTGGATATGAGGGCTGCCAGCAGCTGGGCTCATAGTTTCACCACAAAGGGACTCAAGGGCAGCTGTGGAAATCACCCCGACAGTCTGGGGGCCTAGAGATCTGCTGCAGGACAGCTACGAGCATCAACAACTTCCTGCAGCTCTTTGAAGCTTACCTGGAAGCTGACAGTACCCACTTGGCAAGAGCACGAGCGATGACATCTTGGGTAACATTACCCAGTGTGTGTGTGTGTGTGTGTGTGTGTGTGTGTGTGTGTGTGTGTGTGTGTGTGTGTGTGTGTGTGTGTGTGTGTGTGTGCGTGTGGCTGCAGCTGCTCTCCCCTCTGCCTTTTCCATCTCTTTCAGCAACACAAGCACACAGATTACACCAGTTACCTTATTTCCAGACACAAAAGCATTTGCCACCTGTGACATTCAGCCTTTCATCCCTGAGCAGTCAGACAGGTTACTCAACAGATCTACCAGGTAAGTTGCTATTTACAACCCTAAAAGTTGATTTCCCTCTCTGTTTTTAAACCCATCACAAAGAGAGTACTTACCCAGCAAGCGGCACCAACCTGCAAACTCTCACGTCTCTCTGAAATCCCACCGCAGACCCTCTCTGCTCTCTCTCTCTCTCTCTCTCTCTCTCTCTCTCTCTCTCTCTCTCTCTCTCTCTCTCTCTCTCTCTCTCTCTCTCTCTCTCTCTCTCTCTCTCTCTCTCTCTCTCTCTCTCTCTCTCTCTCTCTCTCTCTCTCTCGTTCTGTCTGACTCCTGAAACCAGCCAGGACACACAATCTCTCTCACACTCCCAGCTCTCGCTCTGCCTCCCTGCCTCCGAGGAGGACTTCCCAGTTGACAGGCATCGCCATAGCAACCCACGTTCAAAAGGCGACCCGGCTCTTGCTCTGAAGGAGCCTCCTTGACTGACCCATTGTTGGGAAAGGTGATCTAGTCAGAGGAAGGGGTTAAACAGAGGGGAATGCAAATTAAGCATCACCTTCACCTCTAAAACTCTGCCCCCTCCTGTCTTCATCTCTCCCGTGCCCCCCTCTCCAATTGTGCATCATTGTGTGTGTGTGTGTGTGTGTGTGTTGTGTTGTGTGTGTGTGTGTGTGTGTGTGTGTGTGTGTGTGTGTGTGTGTGTGTGTGTGTGTGTGTGTGTGTGTGTGTGTGTGTGTGTGTGTGTGTGTGTGTGTGTGTGTGTGTGTGTGTGTGTGTGTGTGTGCAAAAGGCATGAAAGGAGGAAGAAAATGAGCTTTTTCAATTCCTGTAGCTCTGGAATTATTTCAGGGTTTTTCAACGCAGCTGATGAACACACACACACACACACACACATACGCACAGCTGTACATCTAGATGCAAATGTTAAAGGAACAACTGATAATTCTTTGCCGGGTAAAAAGACAAATTATTCAAAGCAGGAGACGTGTTCTGTTCCCGGATTATCAGTCAAACTTCAGCCTGGAGTCAAGGAGAGCGTTGACTTCTCGTGCTTCTCTCTGCACAAACGCTTTGCGTCATTAAAACCAGGACTTCCAGTTTGCCCAGTTCCTGCCAGTGAAGACAAACGTGCTGAAGGGTTTTTGGCCCAGAGCCTTCAGCAGGTAGAGACCCAGTAACCTGCTCACCCTGAGGCATGTTGACTTCAGTAAATAAACTAAATGCTGCAAAAGAAGAGCATTCAGCTGGGTTAATAGCATGATCTGTGTTTGTTTTAACATCCAGTTTCATCATGGAAATAAAAGACTCAGCCTTTTTTAATAATTCAGCTGCCTGGTCCCACGGATCCATTTACCGCCTTTAACTCTTCAGCTGCTGAACTGTGTGGACGTGTCCCGCTGGAGCAGACTTTCACCCTGCTGGGACCACGTCTGCCATCCTCTCACTAAACGAGGTAATCACGCAAGAGGTAATTGGAGGTTTGGCTGGTCTCTGAGCACCTCTCCTGTTCCCTCAGGCTCAAACAAACTCAAGAAGCTTCTCAGCTGTAGCTCCACTTGCTCTGACTGAGCAGAGACAAGCAGGACAGGAAGAGGGTGCAGGATCTTCCACCACTGCCCTCTGTCCCGTCACACATCTCCAGCATGTTGCTCATCAAAAGGAGAACAGCCAGATTCCAGCCAGCGAACAAACCCTGACATGAACTGGTTACATAATCCAAACCTACAGCGTTTGGTGATTACATCCATGCCTTTTCTGTACCGTCAGACACAGGAGACAGAAAGTCTGCAAAAATCACAGAACGATGATATCATGAAAAAGTGATTTGACAGGAGAGATGAAGGTCTGCAGGTGAGCTTCGACTCAGGATCAAGAGCAGATAAGGAATGAGATGTATCATGCTTCAAGGTTGTGGAGTTTGTCTTAAAACAAACATTCAGTCACTTAAAAATCTGTTCTCTATAAGATAATTTAATAAATGAATAAATCCTAACAAACACGGATGTTTTAAGAATCTGGATAAAAATTTCTGGCCCATTTCTAACAGACAAAACAACAAAAACTGCTCTGATGAGCCATCACCGGTGGAATAAGCAGCTCTCGTGTTACACACGACAGCTCATTGATGCCTCACCAAGAGAGAAGCATCAGTTAGTTAAGTTTCTAATGAATTCTCAAATCTGGGTTCAAAAGTCCCAAACAAATAGTGGATATTTACTTTCTTGTTGTCACTGTGAGGAGAGGAGTCAGCAGCTGTAGTCGGGTCTCTGCAGAGAAGGAGAGGAAGTGAGGAAAGCACGGCTGCCTCCCGCTTCTTCTGCTGGAGGATATAACAGGGTGGCTTTTATCTTTGCTGAATTATTCTGTTCGTGTGTGTGTGTGTGTGTGTGTGTGTGTGTGTGTGTGTGTGTGTGTGTGTGTGTGTGTGAGTGTGGCTTAAAGCTCATCAGAGAGAATGTGTTCAGTAAGAGTTTCCATCCCCAGCTGGGGATAATAGAGATTCCCATACAGCCACTGGCTCTGTGTGACCACCCTCCAGAGTGAGGAGGAGGAGGAGGAGGATGAAGAGGTGATTTCCTCCGTCATCTCAGTAAATAGGTCTGAGTGACACACTTGTGATAATAGGTCAGTCTATTCACTGTCTGAGCAGGTTTTGTCCGTCACATTTGTCTGGAACACAAAAGAAGGTCTGAGCAGCTCAGCTGACTCGTTCACCCATCTGCGTGTCCAGGGAACTGCTTCCCTCTTTATTTTACAAAACAAATGCCTTCACACAAACAGCACACATGTGAGCACCCAGAAGCATCAACATTTGCTGCTTTAGTTGGAACTTACCCTGTCAGACGGAGACAAGCATGGCAGCACAGCCGGAAGGACTGGTTTGTTGAGACATTTGTGTTTTTCCCTCTCAGCCTCCGATGATTCCTTCAGCAAGACTTCAGAAACAGCTCAGCACTCTCAGCCAAGAGAAATATTTAACAGGTAGCTTCTGATTAGGAACCAAAGGTCACACCTCTGGAGTCACCCGCCCGCCCACGCGTCAGAAGACCAACAACTCCACACGGACCTTACATTCATCCTCGTACACAATTCAGACAAACACAGTAAACTACTGCAGGATTTTTATATATTTCTGTAAAAACCTGACTTTTTTTTTTTTTTTTACAAATCAAGTAGATCTGTTTTCTCTGAGTTGTGGAGTTTATTTCTAACCAGTCCTAACCCCAATTATCAGAAAATCCCAGGAACAAGGACTAGTTGCCATACAGCATAAAAACTGTTTTATTTATTTTTTAATGCCACAATTTATTTCACTCAACAGATGGTAACTTACTGCCCCCCAGTGGTTTAACATTAGCTACAGTATTATTTTTATTATAGAGTCACTGGTTTTATTTCTTGTTTTAACAATTTGCGGCAAAAAGTTGCATAAAATTAAAAAGTCAAACAAAATGAAATTAATATTAAAATTCAAATTGTATTACTACATGAAAACTAATGATTTCAGATAAAACCTGGGTGACAATTTTATGTTTTTCATTGTTATGGTGAACAAATTTAAAGAAAGGAGGAATGAAGAAGGATGAATTTGCTCATTAAAGTTCATAAAATAAGGCCAAAACAAAACACTACTGTTTTTATTAAAGTTGCATGTGTCATAACCCGTAGAAGCTATCTTGGAGAGCTCTCATGGTCCTTATTTGCTAAAATAAAATAAAAAATTAAGAAATTATTCAATTTTTTTTTTGTTGTGGAACTCTTCAAACCCAAGAAAGAACACAGCTTGCTTTAAAAAGGAAATAAATTTTGATTGTTTTACATGATTCACAAATTCCAACTGTTTTCTTACTGTTAATCAGCATCTACTTTTATTTTGAAACTGCTTTTATTTAGAAAATTATCACTGTTGTTTCTCTATTCTTTCCATTTAGGAGTCTTTGCAGGTAAATAGTGTTTTTGTGTCATTTTTTAATGTTGTTGTAATACCGCTAAATAACCACGAGGGTGCGACACACGTCCATTAGAGGTCAAAGAGGTTGAAGTCAGAAGATAAATCACTGTTTGGAAAACTTTACTCACTCACTTATCATCCCAACTGGTTAGTCCTAGAGCCGAGGGGAGGACACCCTGGACACGTCTCCAGTCCGACACACAGAGACAAACAACATTCATCCACTCATGTCGAGACACAATGTAGGCTCCAATTAACCTAACAAGCATGTGTTTGGCCTGTGGAAGAGAAAACCCAGGCATGCATGGGAATGCGCTAATGCAACACAGCTGGGATTTAAACCTGCAACTTGCAGCATTCTTGCTGCAAGGCAACTCCACCACCATGCAGCCCTTTTTATGCACTTTTAATAGCCTTCACTTCACTTTGGTGTAAAATCATTTCAAACTGACACAGTTAGGCTATATTTTCACTCATGTTGTAAATTCTCTTTTGATGGTCTTAAGACATTTTATCTGAAGCAATTTCTACTAAATATTGATATTTTTGCACACTTAGATGACAATCTGCATCAAAAAATGCAAAAATATCTGTAAAACTGACCTCTCATATTTTATTTTTATTACTGTTTTCTAGTGAGAAACTTAACTTGTCAAACACAAACCAGAACTTACACAACCAGTCAGTTTACACAGATATCTGCATCATTTCATGAAAGCTGCGTTCACTAAAACAACACACACGTGTTTCCTAACTCATCCGTAATCAGTAGCCAAATAGTAACATTTGAATAAAAGTGTTTTTGTGTTAAAAACCTTTGGATGCAGATGCAGATAATTTCCTACGACATCAACGACATTCTGGATTCAAGGTTAAACTGTAGAACCCCTCCCATCAAGTTAGGTTCAGTTTAACTAGTTTGGTTATTGTTTACCCTGCAGCACCAGATTAAAGGCGTAGTTCAAAACACAAAAACACACGCTGGTCATAATGAAACTAGAGCCAGTTGTATTTGTTGTACTTTCACACTTGAGCATAAATCAGAAGATAAGCTGAGCAGATAATCGATTACGTGTTTGTTTTCCTTCACTCAAACATGAATTTACACGTTTACCATGTCCAAAGCATCTCAAGACTGAATTTTTGCCTGTCGTGGTCTGATTTTTATCCTGTGGTTCTGCTGCCAGTTTCTCTTCAACAACATACTAATCTGATGTTAATCAGTCAGCATAATGGTCTAAAATAAGAGTGAGAATCTCAATTTGGAAACAGGTTTACGTAAATATCACCATCAGGGAGCTCTTTAAAGGCTTTAGATTTATGTGGGTATTTTAAAGTGACAATGTGTAGTTTTTACCATTAATCTCTGGAAATATCCATCAAAATGTTGTTGTATATGAATTAAAAGATGCCCAGTTGATGAAAAATATTGGTGGTTTCATAACCATAAAAATATGTTCGAAATTACCTGGGAGCAGGTCTAAATCTCTGGGTGACACCATGAATGCCATGTTTCCTTCTACAGAAGCCCATGAGGACAAAATGCATTTACTGATTTATAACTAATGGTTACAGAACTTTCACCATTAATAAACTTTGCTGTTTTACACATTTACCTTTTCACTCGTTGCCAGTGATCAAAGGGAATCTGATGTTCTTGTTATTTTGCTGGAGGTTGTGCTACCAGGGATTTTTGAACCTAATGGCCATCCGTTGGTAAGGCCTTACTTGAACACAAAAATAATGCTTGTACTGCTCCCTATCGCCAGGGAAAATACACACTGTTGCTTTAAGCTGACTTGTTTCTTTCGGTACATTTGCAGTGATCTCTAAATGAATGTCTTATAAAGAAATCTCTGTGGGGATAAACGGGCTCTGGCAATTCGGCTTCAGGAGCTAGAAGTGAGTTGGGAGCAGAAAACAGCAGGATGTGGAGTCTTATTTCCTGATATTCCGACATCTCTCCTCTGATTTTACAGTGTTGTTGTTTTATCTCTTCAAATAACACAAGCCTGCAGGAGTTTTGCAGATCTGCCAGGCTTTTCTAATCCAAACGTTTCTCTATTTTCTATCAGTGGCTAATACAGGAAATTAGGTTAGAAGACTGTTTTCACATTTAACCTCCATGTTAAACTCAGGGTGACAAGTAACAACAGTTTCTCTGTGAACTTGTTGTTTAAATCAAAATTTCAACTAAAATAAGAACAGATCACAGAATTCTGCAGGTGAATGCAATTTATTTTCACAAACAAAGTAAAAAACAAAATACACAATGTTTAGAAAAAGTTACTTTTAAGCAACAGTTGCTTAAAAATGCTAATTATAATCAAAATACATTATATACACATAATATTAGCTGTGTTTTAGTGCAAAATAGTAGCAGCATATAAAGGAAATCCCAAACATTTAAAGCACCGCAATTTAAATAAATAGTAATTATACATTGTTGATGCATTTATAGTGAGCTACATTAAAATAATAGCTTTTGTGCATTTTCTAAGCCATCCTATACAAATTTTGCAGGATTTACAATTCAAGTAAAAATTTTCCTTATTTACATGAATCAACACCATTATAGCTACACCGCCCCACACTCATCTGGATAGGGCACCGGGACACATGCAGCATGTTCACAGTAGTTTTTTTTTTTCTTGCATTTGTAGTCTAAGAGTTCTCTGGCGGAGCTCAGATCTGCTGTCGGCACAGCGGGCAGGAACCAATGTGCTGCCTGACCTTTAAGGTACAGGGACTGCATAAACACCGGTGTCCACATCTCAGAGTCACTGTGGGTTCCTTCACCATGCACGCCACACAGCTGCTTCCTGTGATCAGAGGAGAAGAATCACAATCAGATCAACATCCAGGTGGTCTCATCCTCTTTCATGCGCAACTAAGGTTAAATAATGTATGCAGGATCTGTACCTGCTGAGATTTCCCTGTTTGGAGAGGAGACAACGTCTTCACGGTTTTCACACGGACTCAAAAAATCTGGATTAAAACTGGGCGGAGGTTCGATGAGAGGCGCCGGTGCTGGGCAGGATCTTCTGGTGAACACCCAATCCTTTTTCTCAGAACCTGCAAGAGATCAATAACAACAGTCATTCGTGTAATCCCTGCTGCTCGTGGAATGTAGAACTGGAAAATCGTGCTGTAAGTAAAACTGGATTTAGGTGCATTCGACTAACCGAGGAGGAAAATGGAGCACGTCTGCCCGTAGAGGTCAATTACAGCCCACAGCGGCTTGCTGAGGTCCACTCCTGACAGCAGCTTGTGGCGCCCGGTGTTGTGGCCTTCCCAGAATAATTTACCACTATTAGAGACCCAGAACTGCAGCTCTGAGCCCACAGGAGAGAAGGCCTCTGGAACCACAGCGGCCCAGTGACCGTGGACACTGGTGAGGTTGGGGATGGCCATGGGGGGCAGAGGCAGAGTCCTTGCTGATGGAGACAGGTTGGTGAAGCCCACACGCAGCGCCCCCTTCCATTTGCACGCATGCTTCTGCACACACACACGGATCCTCTCGTTGACCCTCACCGGACGGCTGCTGAACACCAGACCATCTCTGAACGTGTCCCCGATCCTCTCAGCTCGTCGGTCGCCCTCACTCAGTTGGATCCGGTCTCCAGCCCGACTGTGAAAGGTCAAGGGGCCGAGACAAGTGACGTCACACCTGTGAGGCATCGCTGGCATGGAAGCTGCAGAGGAACAAAATCAGTGATATGATGTACAAATTAATAATGCAGATTTACATCTGACCTTTCCACCTTGCCTCCTCATTTTAAACAAATGGTCCTTTTATTTTACTTTTATTGACTGGGTTCAGACATTTGTTAATTATTACTGCAGATAAAACTGTAAACAGCTCAAAATGAAACTAATAAAAACTGTAAACAGCTCAAATTGAAACTAATAAATCCTTTAAGTTTCACTTTTAATGTTTATGCTAATCGTGTGCTTATCTTCGAGGTCTTGACCTCCATTGTTCCTGTTTACAGCCTCTTCCTAATCACATGACAGACAGAGGAAGCAGCTCTGGTATCTTTATACAACCTCTGTTTTTTTATTCAGGACAACTCTTTATATCAAAATGAGTTTTCAGCAACAAGATTTTATGAAGCTCAAAAATGTTCAATCAGCTGTTTTGCTGCAAAGAAACGTCTCACCCTTAACTGGGGGGTTTCTAGGGATCATTCATTCAGCTGCTGAACTAGAAAAAATAAGAATTTCCAAGCTTTTGTTCCCTACTGTAGGCTGACTCAACAGCTTGTAACAGGTAATCCCCGAATTCTCCAGAGGCACAATAAATGAATTACAGCAAAAACACCTTTTCCAGGTTTTTCCCTTTATCTGCTCCACTTATCTATACAACTCTAGATGCGGGACAAAAGAAGCACTTGGAAATCCTCGTTAGAGCTCTTATCATGTTTTGCAGCACATCGCCGTTATTGTGCTTCTGATTTGAGCACCGCCGCTCAGATTTATGATCTTTTTCCAGATACATCTTAAGGTGTTGAAAAGGATGGAAGGAAGCAAACTTAGCAGCTGCCTCGTATTTAACTCTGTAGCTGACCTTCAGCTCTGGACACCAAACACATCAGAAGTTTTCCACTTTGTTCAATAAATACACTTTTTTTCATATAAAGAAAACTGTCATTTAAAGCAAGGTTCATAGATAAAATCAAGTAATTAGATCATCTCACCAGAGTTCTTGTTGGCTTTCACCTCCTCATAGATGAAGTCGGTGATCCTAAAGAGGAACGTTCTCACGTCTGATTCTTGTTACAGTTCTGAGGAAACTGGAGGCTGGTCTGCTTTTAACTCATAGGCGCACGTGCAGCGGGAAAACAAACAACCACTGACTCATTTGGAGGTGGGATGAAAAAGAGGGAGGAGGAACCAAACTTAACTTTGGAAATTTACGCAGATCTAAAAAAGAGATTATTGTGTAATAATTTACACGGTAAGAAATGGACTTTTGGGGAAATTTGGAATGCTGTCCCTGTGTAATGCATTAATCCCTCTGCATAACTTATTATCATTCTGCTATTGGACTGAACTGTTATGTTCATGTGGGTTTTTAATGTTTTGAATGAAATAAATATGAAAAAAATGTTGAATTTACTTAACCGAGTTATGTTAACTGGTTTGCTTAAATGTATAGATTAATATACATATTTTAAATGTTTTGTTAAAAATAAATGTATGTTATTATTTACAACAAAAGCTTAGTGGAACGGGTTGACGTAACTTGATTAAGTAAATTCAACTTTTTTTTTACAGTGTGGATTTAATACACTTTAGGACAGTAAACTGTAAATGCAGTAAAATATGTTTCATTTGTTTTCCTTCTCACACATTTCTTTATCTGAGTCAGCTGGTTTTAAATCCACTTTTTTATCTAAAATATCATAAAATGTTCACATTTGCTTGATTCTTGCTTTTATTTCCAAAACAAGACTCCAATTAAGATCTTTATGCAACACAAGGACGTTATTATTTATGGATTCTTACGATGGAAAATTACGCAAAAGTATGATTTCATTACTTTGATTTATCGTAAATGTCATCCTCAAAGCTTTATGACAAATCCAAGTTTACACGTGTTGTTTGTTTGTTTCTGGTTAACTGAAACGTGTCCTAGCCTCAGCTCTCATTGGCTCAACCCTGGTCATGTGACCATGTGATTACTTCTCATGAAATTTTACCTAGGTGATCCAAATGGCTGCAGTAATTAGCTGCTGTTCATGTGACCAAGTTTACGTTGCATTTTAGATCATCCTCTCAGTCATGCTGGCCTAGTTGGAGACAAAAGTTTTATACAATTATTTATTATTGTTATTATTATTATTATTATTATTATTATTTTCTATATTCAGTACATTGAATCAATATACTTTATGGTAAGCTGCAAGAATACCATTTGAATAATGACTTGTTACAAACATTTGCACGGAGGCTACTTATCTTCATCAGGTGATTTACAGGAAGGAAGAGACGGTGGCAGGCTGTGATGTGTGTGAGGTAAACTTTCTCACGTGTTGCAACACATTCCAAAACTGAAAGCTGGTTACATAGAAATGATTGGGAATGCATTTCTGGGAAATGACTTAGGTGATTTCACACAGTTACACACAGACATGGAATGCACCACATGAACCTGTTTGCAACCGTTTCATTTCTTAACTTATTTGCATGAGTAAAACGTGACTGTTTGTCTTAGAAATGGAAAGATAAATGCAAACGTGAGAATTTTTAAAATCTATTTCTGTGTTTTAAATAGTGCAAAAGTGTGCTAAATGTAAGCTAAAGATCAATAAACGATGCTGGTCAGTGAGAATAGTTACATGTAGGGCAGGCTTTGTTGTGATTTGAATATAAATAGTTTTTTCATGTATATAATCAGCATTACTCTACTGCTTGTTTTAGTCTGCTGTTTATCCTCAGTCATTTTTCTAAGCTTGTAATACATTTTATTAAGTTTATATTTAACCAACATTGTAGTTGAATAGTGACAAAATAATGTTATATGTGGCAAATTAGAATTGCTGACAACTAGCCACAGTGGCTAACTATTTTAGCCTGTGACATAACCCTAACCCAACCACTTTTAGGTCAGGAAAGTCATATTTTAGGTCACACATCATAGTTATTTTTGCTGTAAATGTAAGAAAAAGGCCCGTGGTTGTGCCGAGTGATTTTATTTTAAGGTGAGCACTGATATGATCATTAACCTTTTTTTTTTTTGTTTACAAAAAGCTCTGTCGCAGGCTAGTGATTAACCCTTTGCCTGCTAGCTGGTAGAGCATATCTTAAGTCACTACATGTCACTGAAGCACTAAATGAACTTAACAAGAAAAGAAAAATAGTAAAACTAAACAATTCTAAATAATATGTAGTTGTTTAAAGAAAAGGCATAACATAGTTATGTTGTATTATTATCTTAATATTATTAAAATGAGTATATTATTAATATACACTAAACTAAAGCCCTCATTGCCCCAAATCAAACAATGCAAGAGTAGAATATTTTCATTGTTTTTTTCTTGGTGAGGGTTAACACAAGGATCAGTATTTCACAGTTTCATGCTGGCAGTAATTTTTAATGTTTCTGCATTTTACTTACTGCCTTTGACCATTTTAAGGTATGTTATGAATTGAATTATTCCAGTTGTCTGCTCATCTATCACAGGAGTTTGTGACCTCCGAGTGTCCTGTCCGCCTCTGTTCACAGCTATTTCAGTGACTGACCAAAGGAGGGAAACAGACTATAGCAAAGCACAAGAATGTTTACTTTTTGTTTTGTTTTCTTAAAAAAACCAAAAGTTTTTGTGTTTGAGATCAATTTGTGTCAGGGTCAGATCAAACCCAAGTCATGTTTTCTGTGTATTTTTAAAACTACAAAGTGCGAAAATCACGTTTAACTGTCAGGCTCAGCTGAACGTCCTACAACTCTGACAAAGATAACGCCGTCCATGTCCTCATAAAAAGGCTCATGTGCTTTTAAGACATGGAAAACTTTACACATTCTTTTCTGTCGAGTTCATACTAAAGCTCGCTGCCCGGAGACTCAGGGGTTTTCCACATTCTGTTTGTAAGTTGTGTGCATAATAAAGCAGCCTTCCTATGGAAAAAGAGAATTTTGACACAATAGGTGTGTTTCCACCATCAGAACTTCCTGCGTGCACGTGCCTCCACTTTACCGGGCCGGTGTCGGTACCAGATCCGCTCGGGTGCCAGATAGGCTCGGGGTCCTGTGCCTGCCGATGACATCACACAAAGCCAAATCCACTTTTACACTTATGTTTTGGAAAGAGTTTAGCAGTTTTGTTATACATTCTTGTGTCTTACGGCCTAAATTTTTTCTTTTTAACATTAATTTGGCAATAAAACACCATATTGTCTTTGTTTTTTAAAGAATGTTAAACTACATAAAACCAAAATCAGACTGATAAAAAGCACAACAGTTCTTAAACGTGGCATTTTTAAAATGAATTTACATAATTAGCAGCCATGTCCGTTTGTGTACATTTGGGATTCCTCTGTATATTTCGTTAATTCTTATGTAAATGAATCCGTTCATTCATTAAAAATATCGCTTGCTATTTGTTCTACAAAATTTTTCATTTATTTGTTGCCACATTTCATCAAAATCATTTTTGTGTGGCAATATAAACATATTTTGTCCACAAAAGGTTTGTTTTGGACTACATGACTTACACCGCAACGACTACAACCCCAAATTTGTTTGGACCAATCAAAATCTTCTGTCATCATGCTAGTGTAACTTTTACGAGCATGGTATTGTAACTTTAGTAAGTCCTGCCTTCAGCCCAAGGGCGTAGGAACCGGTGGGGGGTGGGGGGGGGGGGGGATGACACGTGCCACCTCCAATATTGGACAAATGTGCATTTGTCCCCCCCCCCAACCACGTGGAGATGGAAAAAAATTCATTTTGAAATATTTGACTCGTGACCATTTATTTTGAAAGACACCGCAGACTTCTCACCGACACAGCCCCTCCCCTCAGGGAGTCAGATAGACTGGCTAAGTGAAGCAGGAGCCGGGGCACAGACAGAGGTGCCTGAACAGCTCTCTCCGAGAACAAAGTAAGGAACCTTGCTGTTATCTTTGACCAGGACATGTCATTCAAATCCCACGTTAAACAGGTTTGTAGGATTTCCTTTTTCCACCTTCGGAATATTGCTAAGATTAGAAGAAGAAGAAGAAAATATAATTTCTATAGCGCCTCTCAAGATAAAAATCACGAGGAGCATGATTAGAAGCATCCTTTCCAGGAGTGATGCTGAAAAATGCGTTCATGCATTTATTACTTCAAGACTGGATTACTGTAACTCATTACTCTCAGGAAGTCCACAGAATGTAGTTAAAAGTCTTCAGCTTGTCCAAAATGCTGCAGCTAGAGTTCTGATGAGAATTAAAAAGAGAGATCATATCTCTCCTGTCTTAGCTTCCCTACATTGGCTACCTGTTAAATTCACTCTTAATAATCAAGCTCCATCATACATCAGCAACCTGATTGTTCCATACATTTCTAACTGAGCACTTTGCTCTCAGACTGCAGGTTCACTGGTGGTTCCCAGAATATCTAAAAATAGGATGGGAGGAAGATCTTTTAGCTATCAGGCTTCTCTCATGTGGAACCAGCTCCCAGCTTTAGTCCGTGAGGCAGACACCTTGTCTACTTTTAAGACTAGGCTTAAAACATTTTGATTTGAATGGGCCTATGGTTAAAATCTGATGTTAGCCTAGATCTGGACAAGTGGGGGAGTAGAGGGAGGTGGAGTGGACAGTCGGTAAAGACGGCTCTCTCTTGCCCTGCTTCCAACATGCCTCCATCTAAAAGGCTAGGTTATCCAGAGTTATCTCTCTAGTTATGCTGCTATAGGCTTAGACTGCTGGAAGACATACTGACCACTTTCCACACTCTCCTACTTTCTTCTACAATTTGCTCCTTTACTATTATTTCCTGCTATTTCATCTGTTAACTTTATTTTTTCTCCAAGTGTTTTTCTCCCCAGAAGAAGCTACAAGGATGTTCTGCTGAGCTGTGGTGCCCTCATGGAGGGGGCCCTCGGCTTGAACACTGTTGCTAACCATTTAATCATTCTCCCTCTCCTGATAATAACATTTTACTTTCTTTGACATTGAATGTGCTACTACTAGTTTACCCGTTCAATTATAGATTCACTAGGATAAATACAATAAAGTTTATCTCTCACCAAATAGAGTATTTACTAAGAAATCACAATGTAATCATAGAAACACTACTTGATATACACTCAACAAAAATATAAACGCAACAACTTTGTTTCTGCTCCGATTTTTCATGAGA